GGGCTGCGGCAGTGGGGGGGGGGAGCGGGCGCGGCATCAAGTGCAGCTCGGACTCACGGACCTGGCCCATTTACATTTCACTCGTGAGTTTGCAGCTTCCCCTCTCTTCTCTTCTTCCTATCGCCTTCCGCCTTGGCTCTCCTCTACTGCTTTGCGACCAGATGCCTTAAACACGAGGTGGGACCGAAAGCAAGCGAACAATGAGAGTTCTTCACCTTTGTGTATAGGGGGGAAGGGGGAGCATTTGCTGAGCGCTTTCTGTGTGCCAGCGCGCTTGCACGGACATCCCATTTATTCTTCTCACCAGTCTTGTGATAAAGCATAGCAGTGTGCCCATTTAACACAGAGGCGGATGTAAGCACCTAGGCAGTATGGGTAGGAAGCACAAAATTAACAGCTCACACTCCAGCCCTGGCGTCTAACCTCAAAGGTATTCCTTTTAAACAACCCTCTCTAGTGTCAGATTAAGGGTTAGTAGAGAGAAGCCAAAATGAGGATGAGAGGACCAGTTTAGGGCTACATAAAAATTAATGAACAGCTGTGTGCAACTTACTGATGAGAAAACCGAGCCACCATGAGCTTGCGCATCTTGTCCTGGGGCATCTTGTCCTGTATCATGCAGCAAATAAGCCAATAGCATCGGATTTTACACCCTGGTCTGTTGTTCTCTCGATGCCAGCATTCTCCTCTGTGTTGATGCTGGTCTGCCAAGAGAGTTTATTTTCACTCTTACATACATACCCACAAACTATCTCAGCAGCTTTGCTAAGGTGATGGTTGTGCCGAGGAAGGGGAGTGGGGAAACACCGAAAAGAAGAGGAAGGCGACCATCATGATACACATTATACCGTTTCTGCTCACCTTTTTACATGAAAATAAACCACCTGTTTATAAAAAAATATTAGCATTTCTCTAGGACCCCAAAGGAAATCAGACTCAGAAACGACTTGCCTAAAATGACAGGGTGAAGCCAGAGCTTTCAATCCAGAATTCATGCTACAAACTAAAGTATGGGTCCTCAGCTGGCTATCACAGAATGATTTTTTGAGGGCTTGTTAGAAATGCACATTCCCAGGCTCCAGCTCTGGGGATTTGGCTTTACTGGGACAGGGGATGAAAAATATCATTTGTATTTTACCTGTTGCTATAATTGATTCTGGATTGTAGAGAATCTGTGAACCACTGTTCTAAACAACACACCATGCTGAAGGCTATCAGAAAATGGGTCTGCCATTTAAATGTATGTCCACATACAGTTTGTCATGAAACCTAATCCCAGAGCAGAAGTTTCCTACCTTCAGTCCTTGAAATTGCATGCAAAGGATTTGAACACTTCTTTCTGATACCATTGCTCTGTGAATGGGCCCTGTGGCCCCCAAACAGTTAAGAACCGCTGCCCTGCAATCTTCAAAACATCTTCCTCTTTCAACACCTGCTTGAGGAAGAAGTGTTAGAAACAAAACACCATTTGACCTAACCCACACTAGAGCTCTCGGTGGCTGATAAAGCTCTTTCATTTCCTGGCTCAAGGATAGGTTGCTAGGCTGCCCTTCTGTGAGCTCTTCAAGGGACTTCTCCTTTGCTGGCTTTGGCATCACTGGCCCCAGAGAAGGAGCAACTCCATGGAAACGGCATGCAAGGCTGTCCAGAGCGAATGGACCGTGAAGGCAGAGGCTAGAAACCTGCTCCATTTCCCCTGCCTTTTGCTTCTTACACAGCAGGTATCACTTCTCTGTGTAGATGGTCGGTGGCTAGGAGACCCCCCAGGCAGGGTTTGCTCTCAACTCCTGGTGCTTGGAAACACTGGGACAGTTTGAAACCCTGCAATTGCTGTTGGCTTCATCTTCAATTTGCTAAGGTATTTCACATATTCCCGTCTGCCTTCTTATTTACAACTGCAATGGCTGCATAAGCAATCCACATTTGAAAGGAAGCACACCCTCTGTATGGTACAACCCTCCGTTTTAGTTCTTCTCTTGGGGATGGAACTGTGTTAAAGGTGGTGGAAGGTAGAGAGTGGTGGAGGCACATAGGAGGCAGGTGGCTCACCTTGCAGAGTTAGGGAGTGGGTCTCGGAATATCTGGTGGGTTTTCTTCATACTTTTGCTTTTGTTTCTTTGTACCATGATGTTAGACCACAACCCCACAGCAGACACTTGTTCTATGTTTCCATTGGCTTCATCACCAAAGTAGACTTTATGTTGGGCCTGGTGGATAGAATCAAGGAACTAAGAATAGACCTGAGAATTCTGATTTTAAAAAAATGAAAAGAATGGATTGCGTATAGGTTCAGAGGTTGAAGCAAGAATGTTTTAGAGCAAAGATACAACCAAGGTCCATTGAGATACAGACCATCTCTTATCTCTGGTCACATGTGTGAGAGTGTGCACCAAAGGATGTTCTAATGGGGCCACATTTTCCAATTTTAACAAATGAACCTTAAAAGCTTGAGGGTTAGGAGGTAAAGCTTTCAGATGAAATAATAGGCTACTTTTGGCAGCAGACTTCCTCTGTGCCAGGAACTTTCCATCTGTTATCTCATTTAAACTTCTCGGCAGCCCTGCTGACACAGGCATTGAGTACCATTTTTCAGAGAAAATTGAGAGTTTCAAGGAGGCTAAGTAGGTTCTATAAGGCCATACTCCTTGGGAGTGGAAGCAGTGGGATGCTAGCCCAGGACTGCCAAACTCTAGAACCCATGAATACATCCCTTTTCCAGTTTGAGGGGAAAAGCACAAATGCATCTTGCAGGGATGGATATGCAGTTCAGTGGAAGACTATTTTCTTAGTATGAAAAAAACCTGATTTGATCCTTAATACTGAAAATAAAAAGGATAAAAGAAACCATCCTAATACAGCCATTGGAACATGTTAGCAATGTTGTCATAATTTGACCTTAGGTGCTGCCACATCCCCCCAAAATAATAAAGGAATTTAAAACAATAATAATGATAGTAAGGCTCAGATAGTTGAAGAGAATTAGTCAAGGTCATAAAACTAAAGGATGGCAGTGTTTTGTTCTCTACATCATACCTCAGTGGAGAAAATAAACATGGCCATCATTATGACTCCTTTCTGTTAGCCTCTGCTATGTCTGGTTTTTGTTTTGTTTTGTTTTGTTTGTTTTGTTTTGTTTTGTTTTGTTTTTCATTACCACCACCACGATGGGCTGTTCTGACTTCACAGAATATATATTCTTGAAGATCAGTCAGAACCAGATGAAGTGGCATGCAGTAATACATTCAGCATTCTTACAGGAGCCAGGGAAGGTATTTTTTTCTACGGATGTGTATCCTAAATATAATGTTCTAGGAGAACCTCCCCCTGTCAACAGTAGTTTCTCTCCTTTGGATCTCTTCCTTAGCCTAAAACACCTGTTTCCACTTCTCCACCTAGGAAGAGGTGACTTATTTAAGAACTATATCACATTTTTTCCTGAGAAAATTTTTATTAACACATATTAATTGCACATTTCAGCACACTGGGAGGTCTTGAAAATTCCTATGAAGAGAGTGACTCCTGACTTTTGCAGATCTCTGGTGTTTGAGTGGGGTTCAGTGTAATGTTGCCTTATATGAACACAGCATGCATCAGTAGTATTGAACCATCTTTCT